ACACACACACACACACAGAGAAGGTGTTCGAGGCGACAGATGAACACATATATTCACAGACTAGATAAACATAGTCACCAAGTACAAGTTTTTTGGCTAAAATCTGGAAAATCTCTGACAGAGGACTGGGTGCTAGAAATTGTTACTGCTGCTGCTCCGAAGGTTGGAGGTCTGAGCCCATCCAGAGGCACCGCAGAAGAAAGGCGTGGCAATCGGCTTCTGAGAAATCAGCCACTGGGAATCCTAGGGAGGGCAGTTTTCCGATACACCTGGAGTTAGAACTGACCTGGCCTCAATGGGGCCCAGTAATCCTGAGACGTGTGCATGGCGCCACCTGGTGGCTCATGTCAGACAAGGCTGTGTGTCCACACGTGGGTGTTTGACAGTTCACCACGTGACCAGAGCAGACCCCCCCCCACCCTGCGCACAAAACAATTCCTAAAGAGAAATCCACTGCCAATTCGGACTCACAGGAGCCCTATAAGGACAGAGATGAACCGTCCACAGGGTTTCCAACCAGATCGCCCCACCAAGCGGCCCCCATAAGGACAGAGATGAACTGCCCCATAAGGTTTCCAAGATCGCCAGGCCTTTCCCCCATGAAGCCAGTTGGTGGGTTTGAACTGTCAACCTTTCAGTTAGCGGCTCCAAAGCACCAGAGGGCATTCATTATGGACACCAGTGGTGTCCCTGATTCCGGTCTGGCCACCTTCTAGAGGAATCCCTACAGCTAAGTTGACTCGCATCCATTCTCTGCTTAAAACCCTCACAGGCAGGCTCCAGAGGAGGTGACGCTGCTAACATAAAGGCCTCTCTAGTGGTTCGAATCCACCAGCAGCTCGATGGGCAGCCTCCTCTTGTGAGATTTACAGCCTCTGAAAACCCAAACGAGGGTCTGTTACAACCTGGTTCTGACTCAATGTCAGTGAGAGAGGGGGAAAAAAATTGGGGTGGGAAAGGCTCACTCAGAGCAAAGTCCACAGTCCCCTGTTATCTCTCACCCTCTCACCTTCCACCCTCCCCGGCTCACTCCACCTGTGTGCTGTCTGGATATTTCCAGAATGCCTGTGGGGCCTCTGCAGAGGCTGTCCTTTCAGTCTGGAATGTTCTCTGAGATACCAGCTGGCTCAGAGAAGCCCTGGCGGCAAGGTTTTGACAGAACCTGGCTGCTAATCACATGCCCACAGCCGCTTGGCTGTGACGGGGAGGCGGCCCCGACGCAGACCAGCTCAGAACCTCTGTGGGCAGCTCGCTCTGTCCTGGAGGGGCACTGTGAGGCGGAATCGAATCTGGGCAGCTGGTTTTTGATGTGGGTTCAGGTCTTTTTAAATGTCACCTTTTCAGTGAGGCCTCACTTGACCAGATGGTTTAAATCTGTCCTTCGTCACAGACAGCACCAGATGGATCTTGATAGAAAGGGAGAAAAATGTGGGGCAGAACTTCAAATTCCTGAAGAATCCAGCCTGCTGGACCTAGTGAAGCTACAAGAATCCCTGAGGTACATCCTTGAGTTATTCTTCATTCATACCCAGAATCAAAAGTCTAACCTGCAAACAAATAAACAAACAATAACCAAACACACAGCTACCACGTCAGTTCTGACTGAAGAGAACTGCCCCAGAGGGTGTCCAAGGCTCTAAATCTACCTCCGCAGACAGCCTCATCAATCTCCCACAAAGCCACTGGTAGATTCGAACCATCGACCTTTTAGTTAGCAACCTCATGCTTAATCTACGGTCCTACCAGGCATCCCTGAAATCACAGTCAAACTAGGTAATGGTTTGGCTCAAAAACTAAGGACTGCCTCAGTTCCAAAGGACAAATACTGCATAGCACCACTGTCATAAAGCAGGTCTAATATGACTGGGGTAATCGGGATGGGTGTGTCGGAGGCAGTGCGGTTGGCGCAGGATAGAGCAGAGTTTAGGGCGGTTGTACATAGGGTCGCTATGAGTTGCAAAAGACTCGACGGCACATAACAACAACAATATGTGGGGTTGGAGGAGAATAGGATAAGAGTGGACAGATAATGACCACTGCATTGGAATGGATGAAGGAAAGAATTGTTTAAAAGGAATATATGAGTAAGCACACATATGACAACAGCCCAGAAGAGGAGGTACATTGCAAAGAGGACTGAGGAGAGGGAGGAGACAGGTAACTGCAACAATGAATAAATAAAATTTTTTTAAAAAGTGAAAAGTGAACTGGGGGAGGGGGAAGGGAGAGAGAGGGGGAAAATGTACAACAATGAATGAATGAAAATCTAACTTTTCTGTCAACTTTTATTAAAATCACAAAAGATATTCTTAAAAAAAAACACCCAACAACTACAGACTGTCAGTTAAATGGAAGACCAGTTCCATAAACTTTCACTCAAACGACCACCATCACCAAAATGAATGAATAAAATGTATTTTGTCAAAAAAATTAGTCATCCATCTGCACTGTGCCTGAGTTTGAACTGCCGACCTTTGGGACTGGCACGCAGGCAATCGCAAACGGCTCGCACCACCCCGGCTCCTAGGTAATGACAGTCCAGCTGACAGCTCTCTGGTCAATTCCAGTTCACACTATCCTGTAGGACTGAGCAGAACTGTCCAAGGGATTTCTACAACTGTCAATCTTTTCTTTTTCATTGTGATTTTGTTTTCCTTTTAACCACATTCTGTTCCATTAATTACAACATCCACAATGTAATGCGACTTTCCCACTTTCTCCCTGGAATTCTCAATTTCCATTAAGCCTTCTAGCCTCTGCCTTCCTGCCTTCGCGGCTGGCTCCTTGCTACCCTTGTGACCTCACAGGCTTACTTAGTCTACGGGGTGAGTGCTTCCCAGGCGAAGGCTGTAAATCTTTAAGGACGCAGGCGGCTATATCTTTCTTGCACATGGCAGCTGGTGGGTTCAAACCACTGACCTTTCAGTTAACAAGCAAGCATTTTACCGTACCACCAGGCCTCTCTCTGCTCCTCAAGCATTTATCACCTGCTGAGTCAGAGGCCACTCACAGCTGACCCTATGGTGGGTTCTCAGAGGCAGTATATCGCACGCACGGGAGGAGACTGACTTTCTCTCTTGGGGCAGCTGGTGGACTTGAACCAACTGCCTTTGCACTGGCAGTGCAACTCTGTGCCATTAGGCCACCAGAGTTGCCAGGGTTTTTCAAGCTGTGTATAGTAGGAAGCCCTGCTTGTGGAGTCAGTTAAGTGTTGGGCTGTCAGCAGTTCAAAGCCATCCGGAGAAAGATGAAGCAGTCTCCTGCCATTGAGATTTACAGCTTCAGAAACCTGACGGAGGGTTGGCATGAGTTGACATTCACTCCACAGCAGTGCGTTGTTTTGGGTGGATACGCAGTTCGCTTTGCTGACTTTTCCCAACCGGGACATCACTCTCCCAGCGTCGGGACTTGTGTCTGTTTTGTTCACTGCTGTATCCCCAGCGCCCTGAACAGTGCCTGGTACATAGCAGGCCCTCAGTAAATGCTTCCTGAAGACTCCAGGCCTCCTCAATAGCTTATGGCCGTGAGAATACAGGGTGGAGAGTTCTAGATGAAGCCCAAAGAGGAAGCCATTGCAGATCCGTGATCGGACTTGGATAAATCAGCTTTAGAGATGCATTTGGGCGCATTTAAACACTGTGTGTGTATTAGAGGAATATGGAGAAATGATAATGAGTTTATGAAGTCCTGGTGGTGCAGTGGTTAAGTACTTAGCTTATAATAATAAAGCAGACACCCTACGGGCAGTTCTATCTACTGTGTCCTATCAGGAGCTCTGGTGGGGGAGGCCTAGGAGCTAAGGAGTCGCCCTGCCAACCAGGGCATCTGAACCACGTAGTTCATATTCACCAGCTGCCCCACAGGAGAAAGGTGAACAATCTCTTCCCAAGGCCACATAACAACAACAACCACCTGTCCTGTCAGGTTCCTCTGAGGCGGAAACAAATTGCTGGGAACAGGTTTTATGGCGAATTTTACCAGTTCTGATCACAGTATGTTGTTGCCGATTGTAGTCGAGTCAAGCATGGCTCATAGCGACCCTGTGCACAAAAGGCCTGAAGCCTTTCTATAACTATCGTCACTTCTCAAAGTTCCTAGAGTTTCCAGAGGCATGTTGTTTAGGAAGTGGATGTCACTCCCGCTTCCAAGATCACAGTATAAGGCCACCTATAGTGGCCTATTGGTAAGGAGTTGCACAGCCAACCCAAAGTCAGATGAACTGAGTTCCAGCAGCTCCAAGCCAGAATGAGGGCAATCCCCTCCTGTGTGATCCACGGGCTTGGAAAACCCGTGGAAGGGTCAACTATGAGTCGGTTCTGAATGGCAGCAATGAGCTGAGTTGAGCTGATTGTGGTATCGTGGTTACGCAGAGAAAGAGCATTGTTAGCCAAGGTGTATTTTGACCCCAAATGTCAACAATGACTCTCCAGCGAAGATGAAAAGGTAAGGAGACAAGGTAACTATAGCTCTAGGAATGGAGCAATCAAAATGCAATTAAAGGTGAGCGGTTCGAATCCACAAGGTGCTTGGCTGGAGAAGGAAGGACAATCTCCTCCTGTGCCAGTCAGATCCAATTTGACGGTATACACACACACAAAAATAATAATAAAAAAAATTCTTAAAAAAAAGCAATTAAAATGAACGAGAACAACTGTGATTAGTGTACTAACTTCAGGGAACACTCTGGGTATAAATTTTTTCCAATGAGAACCAAATTTGCTGTGTTAACATTCATTGAAAATACAAGAAATATTCTTGTGTGTGTGTGTGTGTGTGTGTGTATGTGTTTCAATCGTTTATTTTGTAAGAGGGTACCCATAGTCCAAAACATCTTTGTTTTAAAAATCTTTTGTCAAAAAAAGAAAATTATAAAGAAACCTTTCAGTTCAACCTAATAAAAGGGATATCTAGAAAATACTCCCCATTGTTAAGTCTGAAAATAAAATATTCTTTTAAAACTTTCTGGTTTTTATTTATTTAAGAGGGAACTGTCAAGATGTTTTTAACTCAAAATACTGCAGCAAAAACTGGACTGCTACCTACAGAAAGCTGAAACAGGATCCACATCTCGCACTACACATAGAAATCAACTCAAGGTAGATCAGAGACCTGGGAGTAAAGGCCAAAACCATAAAGTCCATAAGAGACAAACTGGGACCAAGCTTAGAAAGCCTAGTCTACAGTATAAAGAAACTGCCAAATATTCGCTTTCTCAAAAAGTTGCAAATAGAGATACAATTTGACCCAGCAATTCCACTACTGGGAATATACCCTGAAGAGACCATAGCTGACATCCAAGCAGATATATGCACTCCCATGTTTATTGCAGCTTTGTTCACAATAGCAAGGAGTTGGAAACAACCTAAGTGCCCATCAACAAACGAATGGCTAGAGAAGCTGTGGTATATTCGCACAATGGAATACTATGCTGCATTAAAAAACAAGGAACTCATGCAATATTATTCAAAGTGGTTGACTCTGGAGAACATTATGCTGAGTGAAATATCCCAGTCACAAAAGGACAAATATTACATGATGCCACTGTTGTACAATGGGACTGTCCTTGGGGTTGGGGAGAGACTGAGTAAGATGTGTTCAATAATGTATACTGCACTGAAACAGAGGAGGGAGAAAACGGTGTAAAAGAGATATGTGACTAGGTATTTCTGTCATCACAGGAGACTAGAGCGAGGGCTACACGGTGGAGGGGACCTGGGGGAGGGTTTGTAAAACAATGAAAGAATCTTTTCTTTTACTTTTCCATAACTTTTGACTCATGTACTTATAACTTGTTAGTTAAATTTGTGTCTTCTAGGTTGCAACACCCCCATGATACATCTTCAGGGATATGAACATGTACGGCTAAGCACAATTAATAACAGTGCATCTAAATTCCAAAATCAATCTCCATAATAGTCTATGTGTTTCCTACTGCCAAAGGGGCTCTTTAGAGTAGTGAGAGAAGATCTTCACCCTGAAACCCACAGCGTCCCTTTTCAGCAGGAAGTAGCCAAGAGAATACGCCATTCCCTTTCCCTTATGAATCAGGGTAAAGTCTCTATCAGGGAGGAGTGATAGGGAATGGCAAAGGACACACCGACAAAGGAGATTAATCAGAACTGACTTTGACAAGCACTGTGGCAATTGGACAATTAAAACAGACATTCGGATGGCGGGGAAGAAGAACAAACTGGGGAGGAGGGTAGAGCGAATGGTGCAGCAATGAAGGAATGAAAACCCCAAATCCCTGTAAATGTTCATTAAAACTAATAAAATTTAATAAAATAAAAAAAAAAGAAACTGCCAAATATAGCCAGAAATACACAATCTGAAGAGGATAAAATTGATGAATGGGACCTTCTAAAGATTAAATCCCTATGTGTATCAAAAACTTCTTCCAAATCCCAAAGGTACACGGTTCAAATCCACCAGATGCTCTGCCGGAGAAGGAGGGACAGTTTCCTCCTGTACCAGTCAGATCTGATTTGATGGTACACTCACACAAAAATAATAAAATAAAATAAAAAAAAAAACCAGCAACAGACTTTTTCCAACATGGTGAAATGAAAACCTATCAACTGGGAAGAGACATTTAGCAATACCCTCTTAGACAAGGTCTCATAACGAAAGCTTACAGCATACTCCTGGGTCTCCACAAGAGAAAGACTAATAATCCAATTACAAAATGGGCAAAATACATGGGAAGAGTTTTCACAAAGGAAGATATTCTAAATGATACATGAAGAAATGCTCAAAATCACTGGCAATAAGAGAGATGGAAATCAAATCAAAGTTTAACAAGACAGCAAGTAATAATGTTGGAGAGGATGTGAAGAGATAGGAACTCTTCTACATTGTTGGTGGGTGGATTGTAAAAGGGTATAATCATTCTGGAAAGCAGCTTGTCACTTCTTCAAAAAGTTGATCTTAAAAATTCTATATGATCCAGCTATTCCACTGCTTGGAATATTGTTGTTGTGGTGGTGGTTAAGTGTCACTGAGTCGTAGATGACTCATAGTGACCCTATAAATGAAAGACCTGAACACTTGTACAACTTTGGTCGTTTCTCCATATTCACAGTTTCCAGAGGCAAGTCATTTCAGAAGTGGATGCCACTCCTGCTTCCAACCTTGTTTTAATGGGAAGCTCCACCTAAGAAAATGAGAACTGAGACACAAATGGAGACTTGTATACCAATGTTCATAGCAGTGTTATTCACCATTGCAAGAACATGGAAACAGTGCGGATGTCCAACTACAAATGAATGGATTGAGAAATTATGGTACATTCACACAATGGAATACTATGCAACACGAAGAAGCAATGATTTTATAAATTACTATCTAACTTAGGAGGGACTGGAGAGCATTATACTGAGTAAACTAACTCAGCCCGATAAGGATAAATATTGTATAAAACCACAACTGTAGAATGAGTACGAAGATCAAAAGGGGGGGAGGGTGGAAGCAGAAGGGTGAGTATAGGCGGGGGAACAAGAGAGGGGAGTGTTTAGTGGTGTGTTAATCGTAGGGTCGCACAATTTGATGGGTGAGTGGGGCTGAAGGAAATGGGAAAGATCCACTGTGAAAAAACAATGTGTTCGAACTTTGAAATAAATCAGTATAAAATAAATTTTTAAAAAACTGGAAGGGACAGGTGGGCAGGGAGAAAAGTATAACAATGAATGAATGGAAATCCGAAGTCTCTGAAACGTTCATGAAAATAAAATTTAAAATAAAAATATATGTAAAATATTAAAAAACAAACAAGCATGGCCTAGTGGCAAGAAGCTGCACTGCAATCCCAGAGATACCCGGTTCGAATCCACCAGATGCTCTGCCAGAGAAGGAGGGACAATCTCCTCCTGTACCAGTCAGATCCGATTTGACGGTACACACACAAAATAATAAAAATTTAAAAAAAAAATTAAAACAAACAAACAACCCTAAAACACTGCAGAAAAGGCTATTTTGCTGTATTATATCTCTACCTTCATGTGCTTGGAAATTTCTACCATAATTTTTCTTTTCTTTTTTTTTTTTTTAGAACAAAATTCACTTTATTTGTTATAGAAAATCCACTATGTGGTGGCCACAGCTGGAGCCTGAGTCCTCTGCACGGAGACTCTGGGTGGGAGAAAAGGCTTCGACAAAAAGGCTAAATAGTATCACTGATTACATCCGGGTAGTATTTTATTCTAAAACAAAACAAAAGCAAGCCCACACCAGTTGCTATGGAGCTGACTCTCACTGGAGCGGGAGTACTGTCCTCCACAGGCTTTACCGTGGCTGAGTTTTCACAGATTGCCAGGCCTTTCTTCTGAGGCACCTCAGGTAAAGCTGAACTACCAAACTTTCGGTTAGCAGTATGTGACCCAGCACTTAACTGCCTCACTCAGGGACACCTCAGTAATATTTTCTCTCCTTGCACCCATCTGCATATCTAAAAAACTTTTCCACTGAAAAAAGCAAAAGGCAGACCTCAGGAACCTCTCTGCTGTCAGGTCGGAAGCAACGCATAGCTGACCCTCTAGTGCGTCTTCAGAAGCTGAAGGGAAAAGGACACTGTCCATCTTTCTCCCTTGGAGGATCCAATCCACCAGAAAGACCACCTTTGGGTTACCTTGCTCCCTAGGGATTACACTGCCAGAGCTCTCTAAAAGCCGGTGTTGCTGTTGTTGTGTGCCATTGAACGGAAACCACCCAAAGTGACCCTCCAGCGAGTTTTCAAAGACAGTAAATCATAAGGGATGAGACTGCTCATCCTCTCTCGGGGCAGTTGCTGGATTTGAACCATGTGCCTTTGAGACTGCAGCGCAGTGCTATATGTGACTTGTCCATGGGCCAGAGGGCTGTGGCCCCTGTGGCGAGGGGGGTTCCGGAAGGGGTCTAGCTTTGCCTGTGGATCCCCAGAGGTGCACGGGTGGTCCAGGCGTTTGGGGGGTGGGCAGCTGAGTGGACTGGGGAGGGAAGGAGCTGGGGGTCGGGCACGGGGGTGTCACCTCCACAAAGTTGGTGTGCTTGGCGTCGCGCACGGTGACCACGGCGTGCACCTCCTCGATCAGCTTCTGCTTCTCGTCGTCGTCAAACTGCATGTACCACTTGGCCAGGCGGGTCTTGCCCGCCCGGTTCTGGATAAGGATGAAGCGGATCTGTGGGGGGCGGCAGGAGGAGGAGGAAGATGAGGGGGAGGGAGCTAGAGAGGCGGGGCATGGAGGGAGAAGGATGGGAGTCCGGTTGGGTGCACAGGGGTTATAGAGCCCAAAGCCCCCAAAAAGAACACCCAGCCCACTGGAGTCCGGTCCATTTGGACTCATGGAGACCCTCCGGAGTTTCCCAGATTTTAAATCTTAACAAGAGACTAGCACTTAACCTACTAACCTCCACGGGGCCCCAACACCGCAGTGAATTCCATTCCACCACATACTAGAGTCGCCTGCCAAGGACTCAGAGTCCCGACTTCACCTCCCACCCAGGCTCTGGGGGACCCCAACCAAGCCTCCGCTTCATTTAGCTTGTGTGTTATCTGCAAAACAAATTCCCCAAGTAGCCCAACCTTCTCAGGCTGTTGTGAAGGTTAAATAGGTGTATAAACTGAACTCCTGTCTAGTACGCAGCTGACGCTCAAGAAAGGCTTCCGTTTCTGACTTCTTGGATTTGCATTTCCAGTACTGTCATTTTCATTGGTTTTATTGAGGCAGACTCATCCTAAAATGCGCCTATTTCAAGCGTATGTCACTATGGGTCTCTCCCTCTCCAGGACGGAGAACGAGGAAAGAAAATCAAACATGCAACGAAAAGTGAGTCCAAGAAGACTCATTGATGCGGGCACCTCAACCTCCAAAACCTGCCACGAGAAGAGCTAGACGGTGCCCGGCTTCGGCTGCTGACCACTCCCAAACGGATCACAGCAGAAGGTCCCGGGTGAGCGAGAGGAAAATGTGGAACAAGATTCCAAAATATTTTTTAAAAAGCCTGACTTACAGACAGAACTCCCAAGAATATGGCCCTTTGCCACCCTTCAAATCTGGTTATGCGTCCACAGGCAAATCACTTAACCTTGCTAGGCCTCAGTTTCTCCTTCTGAGAAATGGACAAAATGACAGCCCCTTCCTCACAGAACTGCCAAGAAGTTCACTGTGCTGACAACACATATTGGGTGGGGGGTGTCGTCTGGGTTAAAGTTTACAGAGCAAACTGGTTCTCCACTCAGCCCATTTTGTTTTGATTTCAGTTTACACACTGGAACAGCACTCTTCCCACCCCCTTCCCTGTGTTTCCTAGGTCCATCCGTCCTTCCTTCCTACTGCCTCCTGCTACCTGAGCTTTACCACTGACAAATGCTGCCCTTTTGCTCTTGTGTGGTTGCCAATCCTGGGGAAGGAAGACCTCCCTGGTGATACTCATCACCTCTTATGTCTACTGTCTGGCTGAAAGTGCAGCCAATGGGGTGAAATCAGCTCAAGGCGTAAAGCGTGTCTAGGGATCACAGTATCAGGATTCCATTAGTCGCTGTCAGATCAGTGAGTCTGCGGGTTTTTTCTTTTTTTTGGGGGGGGGGCGGAATCATTATTTTGATAACATTGTTCTCTCACTCCATCCAGGGCCTCCTATCACGATTGCTTTCAGAGTGGTCAGCAGTGGCAGCTGGGCACCATCTAGTTTTTCTGGTCTCGGGGTGATATCAGCACTTTTTTAGCACTAAAATTCATCATTATTTGACTTTGAGAAAACCATGGTCCAAGTTTACCCACTAAGAAGCCTATCTTTGGAGAGTGTATATGTGTGTGGTTTGGAGGGAGAGAGAGAATGTGTGTGTGTGTGTGTGTGTGTGTGTGTGTGTGTGTGTGTGTATGAGAAAAAGAGAATGGAGGGGGTTTGGAGTATGTGTGTGTGTGTGTGAGAGAGTGTATGAATGAGAGTGTGTCTGTATGTGGTTTGGGGTGTGTATTGTTTTGGGGAGGAGAGGGAGGGAGAGAAAGTGTGTGTGTGTGTGTGTGTGTGTGTGTGTGTGTGTGTGTGTGTGGTTTCACCCAGATAAGAAAATAGATTCTGGGAAGTGAAGTTTCACAATCAGAAAGCAGACATGGGATTCTAAGACCCTGACTTCCAGGACCTCCACCCTTCAACTATACTTCCCTCTTTTCCCAAAGCATATCCGTCACACACTCCAGCCTCTCCTCCCCAAGCCGGCCAAGCTGGCTGGGAACAGGATATTACACTCTCCTTCCAAGAACCCCTTTTGCTGAGGCAGGGGAAACCACTTCCTGGCAGGGCAGGGGTCCTGGACAGAAAGTGAAGGGGTGGGGGGGAGGGACACTGGCAGTCAGAGCCTAGGAGAGGCCAGAGCTGGAAATACATGGGGCACCTGGGGAGGGGAACTAGAAAGAGGTCTACAAAGTTGGGGGGTTGACAGGAGCTCAATTACTTACCCCCCCAATTCCCTTATATACCACTTCCTGTTTTTCCTTCCAATTAGAATCATTCCTGAGAAGTCTCCTCTCTCCTTCACCCTCATCCCACTGGGCAACCCCTGATGGCTGCCCCCTCCCCACTTTCCCTGTCTCCAAGCTTCTTCCCCTGGAGATAATCCCTCCCACCTCTGCTGTTCTGTTTCTATCCCTCCCCTCTACCCTCTATGTTCCCCTTTTAAAGACAGTCTTTCTCAGGGAGCTCTGGTGGCCTAGGAACAGGAAGCTGCACCGTAATCCCAGAGGTGCGTGGTTCAAATCTACCAGATGCTCTGCTAGAGAAGGAAGGACAATCTCCTCCTGTACCAGTCAGATCCAATTTGATGGTACACACATGAAAAATAATAAATTTTTTAAAAATTCCTTCTCTGACTCAAGGCCCTCTGGTGGCACAGTGGTTCAAACATTCAGCTGCTAACCCATCAGCCTGCTCCATGGAAGAAAGTCTTTTTCTGTACAGATCCACAGAAACTACGTGAGGCCATTCTGCTCTGTCTGACTGGGTCTCCGCGAGCTGGAATTGACCCAATAGCTATGGGTTTGAAGTTTGAGGGTCTAGAGACCCCCTTTGCACCTCCTAGCACCCTGTTATTTGGCTTCTATCCTTCATTCATCTATTTTCTCAACTCCTTTAACATGGCTTTGTTTTCTATCCCAAAGTCCCATCCTGGCAAGAGGGGTAGTGCCCCTTCCCAAACTCAATGCGAGTGCCTGCTCCACTCACCCTCCTCCCATCTCCTGCAACTCTTCCTCACCTGGTTGTCATGCTTTTCTTTGTGATTTATTTGAGCAGGCACAGAGCAGGGTGGGCTGTACTTGCTATGGAAGTGGATAGCCAGGCCTGGTTCTTCCAGGTACCACTGCGTGGATTCAAACCGGTACCCTTTCAGTTCCCAGGCGATCACAGGACCACATGCACCGCTCAGGGGCCTTGCCCTCCCCACCTCCAAAGCCTTCTTGTCTCCAGGATCATTCCTTTTGGATGGGCCTGCGCACTGATTACCTCTCCTTAACTCTCTAAGGGGCTCTAATGGTGCATTGATTAAGAAATTAGCTGCTGAGCAACAGTTTGAAAGTTCGAACCCACCAGCTACTCCATGGGAGAAAAAAGACTTCCACTTCCATACAGCCTTTGAACCCTAGACAGCAATTCGACCCTCTCCAATAGGGTCTCAGGGAGTCCAAACAGGCTAGAAGGCCACAGGTAACTTCCTATTTCCCAGTTCTTTTAAGCCTTCACAGATCAAAGTCCCATTTAATCCTCACTGCCGCTTTCTTCAGCTGTCCAGCCCCCAGTGCCTTTGCCTGGAGATGATCTTTCTCACCCCTCTCTGAATACCTCCTCTCCACCTGCAATGCCAGCTTCCTGTCCCAGGAGACCTCTCCCATCAAGAAGACCCCTTCTCTCCACCTCCAGAGTCTATTCGCCTCCAACACTCCCGCCTCCCCTAAGGCAGTCCTTTTCTTCCATTTCCAATGTCCTGACCCTACCAGAGTCCCTATCCCCACGTCTCAAGAACACCAACCACCTCCAAGCCCTCTTTCGATGACACTCTCCAATGTGTCTTCACCTTGGGACCCCTCGACCATGCCCGCGCGCGGAGTCCCGGCCCAGTTCCCCATTTCCTTCCCGGTCATTGAATGGACCCGACCCAGCGAGCCCGCGCTCGGCCCAGACCATCGCACCACGGTCAGGAGGGGTTGTCATCTGCCCGACAGAACTCAGGTATCGGCATGCAGGCCCCCTCCACCTGTCCCCGCTGTGGGCGCGCCCCCGTTACCATGGCGACCCCCGTCCGGACCCCAGCGGCCCTGGTCCGGTAGTGACTGGGCGGCTCCGGCTCCCGCTGCAGTTGAGGGGCTCAGGGCGAGAACGGACTTCCGGCAAAGGAACCCGCCCGCCCTCTCACGCATGGCCCGCTGGGAGTTGTAGTCCTGCGATTGAGCCTGCGCCTCCAGGCAGCAAGCCCGCGAACAGGGTCAAGCGCTCTTCCCGGCATGCTGAGCGACTGCCCTTTTCCTGTCTCAGCTTTCCGTCTTCCAAGTGCACGCTGGGAGTTATGGATCAGCTTCCCAGAAGCGGACTACAATTCCCTATGTGCATGACGGCCAAAAAGCCGAAGTTGCTTTCTGGGAAATGTAGTACAATCGTGAGGGGCGGGGACACCACCACGACCGCCCACAAAAGAAGGGCATGCTGGGAGTAATTTTAAATTAGGTGTTTTAAGAGCATTTGTGACATGGTCCATGCTGAGTCCTTTGCGTTGAGTTGTTAACCTAAAGATGAAGCTTCTCTGCTGGTTCGAATCCACCAGCGAGACTGTCTCCTCTCGGCGTTCGATTTACAGCTTCCAAAATCCCCCTGGAGGGTCAGTTAGGAGTTGCTTCCAGCTCCACGCCAGTGAGTTATTACCCAATTTTGGCCTTTTAGGGAACTCTAGTGGCCTAATGGTAAGGAGCTGTACGGCTAGTTCAAAGGTCCCAATCGGCCTGCTGCTCTGCACAGTCTCCTCTCATGTGATTTTTATAATTTTTTTTTACAGTCATGAGTCAATTCCAACTTAATGGCACATATAACTGCATTGACCTGTTAGGGATCTCTGGTAGTATAGCGGTGGTGGCTTTCATGTGCTGTGGAGTCAACTATGACTCATAGAGACATTATGTACGATAGCTCTGAACGCTGCCTTATCCTGCCTGAGCCAGGCTGACCATCCCCGAACACCTACTCCCATTAATTACCCCAGTTACTGTACCAATCCATCTCATCCTGGGTCTTCCTCTCCTGCTCTGTCCTTCCATCCCTCTAAGTATGATGTCCTTCTCCAAGGACTGGGCCCTCCTGAGAGAATGTCCAAATTGCAATTATATCCAAAGTATGTCAGTGTGTGGTATATCGTTGAGTCACAACTGACCCATAGCTGATGGTCCGGTGGGTCAGACCGAGCTTCAAAATTCGTGCCTCCAAGGAGCAACCTGGCTTCAGCCTCTCCAGGAACACCTGTTTATCTTTTTGGCAGCCCATGGTATGTTTAATACTTTTCTCTAGCACCATACCTTTTCTGTCATCCTACTCATTGTCCAGCTTTTGTTGCATAGCAAGTGATTGCTAACACCATAGCCTGGATCGGGTACACCTTAGTCTCTAGACTGACATCGTTGCTCTTTAGCACTCTGGACAGGTCCTGAGCACAGACTTTCCCAGTGCAACTTGTCTTCTGATTTCCTGACTGCTGGTGCCAAGGCTGTTTGTTGATGGTGGAACTGAAGAAGTTGCAATTGTTAACAACTTCAATCTCTTCCCCACCTATCATGGTGCTGCCAATTGGCCCGGTGGTCAAGATTGAAGACTGCAATCCTTGACCTCCTGGAGCAAATGCTGCGTACCCCTGGCCGTGTAGTCCTTAGGATTTCCCTGCTAACCCAAAGCTTGTGCCTCTCCGGCACTTCAAATCTACCAGTTACTCCACGAGAGTAAAATGGGCAATCTTTCTCCTGTGCAATTTGCAGCCTCTGAAAACTGGCTGGAGGGTCAGCTATGTATGAGTTGGTTAGGACTCCTTGGCATATGACAAGAACAGTAGGAATGTAACTCTTCCCCCCCCCACCACCACCCCATGCTGGCCACCATCATGCCACCAGGACTCCTTCAACTTCTCTTAAGAGGATTACAATTCACAATTCCTGTGTCCAAGGCTGTGGCCCAAGCTGGCTTGCTTGTTGCTATGCTTCTGGAAGAAGCCAGGCCCACCCCATAATTCAAATACCAACAGGGTCACTTATAGTGGACAGGTCCCTGCGGAGCTTCCAAATCACAAGAGACTAAGAAGAAAGACCTGGTGATTTAAAAATAAAAAGCCATTGAAATCCCTACGCAACAAAACAGACTATTGTCTGATACCTTGCTAGAAAATGAACCCACTAGATTGGAAGACACACAACATGTGTTAGAATGGACTGAATAGAGCTTGAGGGTTAGGTCAGGTTCAACCAGAAAGCATTTTGTTCTACTGTGCTTGGTTCTTTCCCAAGTCAGACCTGACGTAATGGCAACTAACAGTTACAACCAACTATTTAGATGCAGGATGGATCTTTTTTTTTTTTTTTTAATTTATGTCAGTGTACCGTCAAATCAGATCTGACTGGTACAGGAGGAGATTGTCCCACCTTCCCCAGCAGAGCATCTGGTGGATTCGAACCGTGCGCCTCTGGGATTGCAGTGCAGCTTCTTGCCACTAGGCCACCAGAGCTCCCCAGGATGGATCATTTTAAAGCTTTTGAACCATGCCTTGCACATACTAACTAGTCAGTCATTATTAATTAACATTGTTAACATTCGTGTGATATCAGCAACTAACAATCTTCTCACTCACTTTGTACTGTATTGCATTGGGAAAATATGCAGTCGGGGACCTCTCCAAATTACTGAGGAACAATGAATGGGAGCCCCAGAGCACTTAACTGTGTGCATGCAGAACCTATACCTGGACCCAGAGGCTGTTGTGCAAACAAAGCAGGGGAACACTGCATGGTTTAAAATTGAGAAGGGTGTGCACCAGGCTTTCATTCTCCCTCCATATCTATTCACTCTGTATTCTGAGCAAATTATCCAGGAAGCTGTACTCTATGTAGAGAAATGTGGCATCAGGATCAGAGGGGGAGACTCATTATGTGGGGGAGATTCATTATGAATGTGTTATTCAAATGACACAACCTTAGGGGAGCTCTGGTGGCCTAGTGGCAAGAAGCTGCACTGCACTCCCAGAGGAACATGGTTCGAATCCACCAGATGCTCTGCCGGAGAAGGAGGCGCAATATCCTCCTGTACCAGTCAGATCTGATTTGACGGTACACGCACACAAAATAAAAATAAAAATTAAAAAAAAATGACACAACCTTGCTTGCTGAAAGGAGGACCTTGTGCTTGCTTGAGGAGGACCTGAAGCCCTTGTTGCAGAAGATCAAAAAATGCAGCCTTCAGTATGGATTGCATGTCAATGTCAAGACAACAAAGATTCTTCCCACTGGACTGATAGGCAACATCATGATGAGTGGAGAGGAGATTGAAACTGTCAACAGCTTCATTTTTCTTGGACCCACAATTAACACCCTTGGTACCCACAGTCAGAAAATAAAGAAACATGTTGTACTGGAGAAATCTGCATTTAGGGACCTCTCCAAATTATTGAGGAGTAATGGTGTCATTTTGAGGACTAAGGTGGGCTGATTCAGGCCATGGTCTTCCCAATCACTTGCTGTGCATCTGAGAGCTGGACAATGAATAAGGATGACAGAAGAAGAATTGATGCCTTTGAGCTGTGACGTTAGAGAAGAACACTGAACATCCCATGGATGGCCAAGAGAATGAACAGATAATGTCTTGGAGAGGGTACGAAGGTGCATCTGGAGTGCTCTTTGGAGGCAAGAATGATGAGGCTTCACCTCACATACTTAGGGCATGTTGGTAGGAGGGGCTATTCCTTGGAGAGAGATGTGATGCTGGGAAGGGTTGAGGGTCGTGAAGGGGAGGAAAACAATCAGTAGATTTACAAGGTAACTGCCACAATGGTCTCTTGTGTGTCAGGAAGTATGAGGATGGTACAAGATGGAACTGAGTTCAGGTCTTTGTTCATAGAGTCGCTACGAGTTGTACTTGACTCCTGACACCTAACAACAGAGATTATTTCTTCTTGGTTCACGACTCAGTCCTCAACTGGGTTGGGACTACAGGGAGGCAACCATGTGCAAGGTAGGAAAAGGCACCTATTCTCAGGGGCTGACTTGGCCCTTGAAGAGTCCTGAGAGTGAAATTCTCCTTATACGATGTGCCCTGGACACCTGGCTTACCTCACCTTAGTCCCAGCTCTGATCGCCAGTGCTCAGCTTAGTGTCTGGCACAAGTCTAGAGTTCAAGAAATATTTCATGAATGAAAGAACAGGTACCAAGAAGTGACACCCTATCCACCTTCCCATCTCACCCATCAGCATTCCCAGTCTGTTGTTGCGGATGGCTGGGCACTGGCAAGTCAATTGTGACATATAGAGACCTCATGCGAGCAGAATGTGGCCTGTCTGAGCAGAATGTGCTCAGACTCTGACCCCCAGTCTCACCTTTAAAGTGATAGCGAACAAGGCTATCACTTTAAAGACTAAGGTGCACCTGACTACTAATTTTTTTTAAGTTATTTGATTTGGTATGTGTGTGAAAGTTAAATGATAAATAAGGAAGCCCAAAGAAGAATTGATGCCTTAAAACTGTAGTGCTGGTGAAGAATGCTTAATATCTCATGGACTTCCAAAAGAACAGACAAATCTGTTTTAGAAGTAAAGGGAGGGTGCCCCTTGGAGGCAAGGATGGTGAAGTTTAGTCTCCCTGAAAAGGACACCAAGCTTGCAAAAGTGGAAGGTCAGGCAAAGGGAAAAAGACCTTCAAGAAGACTGACGCCCTGCCTGCAGCAAAGGCCTTAATCACAGGGATACTGTGGGGAGGGGGAGGGGGTGGAGCCTGCAGGATCAGGATCGGACAGCCTTGCTTCTGTTGTGCAGAAGGTCACCCACCATGAGGCAGAACAGAATCAGGGCCTCTGGCAACAACGACATCCTCACAGAGCAAATCAGCAGTCCTTCCTCCCAAAGTTTCTGGGTGAATTTGAACTCGGTTCTGTTGTTGTTCTTAGGTGCCATCCAGTTGATTAGGACTCACAGAGACCCTGTGAACAAGGATCTGAACCTTTGTTATCATGAGCGCTACTATCCTTGAGCCTGTTGTTACAGTCACTATGTCATTCCATCCTGTTGAGGCTCTCTCCTCATTCTCCAATCCTCTACCTTCTCCAGCCTGAAGCCTTATTCCAAAGTC